AATCTGTAACGTTCTGCTGCTGCAGTTGCCAAAAGATGATACTTTCAAGAGTGTCAGGTGTTGTGTTGAAAGGATCCCTTTTAAGAGTCTCCTAAGGGGCGCCTGGCTGGCTCAGTCGGCAGAGCACTTGATTCTTCATCTCGGGGTGGGGAATTTGAGCTCTTGAGAGAGCACAAGCAGAGAGAGCGGCAGGCAGAGGGAGAGGCAGGCTCCCCGCTGAGCAAGGAGCTCAATGGGGGACTCAATCCCAGGACCCTGGGATTATGACCTGAGCCGAAGGCAGATGTTTAACGGACTGAGCCACCCAGGCGTCCCAAGATTACTTAATAAGTTAAAAAAAAAAAAGTCTCCGAATAGGGGCCCTTATTGGCCGTGTAGTGAAACATGCAACAATATATTATGAATACTTCTTCTGTGGCTCCTCCTTGTACTATGATGGAGTCCATTGCAACCATCAGGTCATTAAAACACTGAAAAATGCTTTAAGTCCATAATAACACGTGAGAGAAAAATATAAAGTTCACAAAAAAGGTGAATAAAAATATATAATATTTTACTGGCTATAATTAGTGAGTGATTATATGTGTGGGTTTTTTTCCTTGTCTTATTATTTATATTTCTAGTATAAGTGCTTGTTTCTACTTGTACAATCTGCAAAGTATAAACTCAAGGAACTTTGAAAAAGCCAGTCAGCCTCAGAAATAGGAAAAACTGTACCAAAACCAGGAAGGACCCAATACACCTGTGGCCTCACACAATAACCCCAGATAGAAAGGGCATCACAGTTAGTTGGCACAAGTGAGCACACACAAATCCAAGTAGAAACAGGGTACGATAAAATAATAAATAAGCTGAGGGCGCCTGGGTGGCTCAGATGGTTAAGCATCTGCCTTCAGCTCAGGTCATGATCCCAGAGTCCTGGGATCGAGTCCTACATCGGGCTCCTGGCTCAGTGGGGAGCCTGCTTCTCCCTCTGACCCTCTCCCCTCTCATGCTGTTTCTCTCTCGCTCCCTCTCTAAAAAATAAATAAAATCTTAAAAATAAATAAATAAATAAATAAGCTGAATGTCCCAAGTGAGAGCTCACTGCATACTCAATCCATTATCACCTATGAAATGAACATTTTATTAGCAAAATTAAACCCCTAATAATTAAATAGTGATATTAGGAAGATTTAGGTTTTTTAAGAAACGCCTAGCCTAGCTCAGTATATTATGACAGGATGATGAGTTGTGATGACATTGCGTATCATGCAACTTTTTTTTTTTTTTAAGATTTTATTTATTTGATAGAAACAGCGAGAGAGGAAACACAAGCAGGGAGAGTGAGAGAGGGAGAAGGAGGCTTCCCGCTGAGCAGGGAGCCCCATGTGGGGCTCCATCCCAGGACTCTGAGATCATGACCTGAGCCGAAGGCAGACGCTCAATGACTGAGCCACCCAGGCGCCCTGCGTATCATGCAACTTTAAGCACATATCACATCCAGTAAAGAAACTGAGTTACAAAAATAAAAATCTACATTAAAAACATAAATTTACATGTCCAATGACATATAAAAAGGGACTCAGCATAATGACCACGAGCTCAGGTTCTGATGATCGTATAATATGCAAACAAGTCCCAGGGACCAACCAAGAGTTAAGTGAGAACTCAGCCTTTCTCATATCTGACTTGGTAATCTGTGTCTTATCTCCTTTTTTTTCTTTATATTTTCCTAGAGGTTTATCAGTTTTATTAATTCCCAAAACTAAATTTTTGGCTTTGTTAATTTTCTCTGTTGTACATTCATTTTATATTCCAATATATATAAATTTTTATTTGAGCTCTATTATTATTTCCCTTTTTTTTTGCTTTCTTTGGATTTAATTTAGTATACTTTGTCTTAACATCTTGAAATGGGGGCACCTGGGTGGCTCAGTCGGTTACGTATACGACTATTGGTTTCAGCTCAGGTCATGGTCTCAGGGTCATGAGATCAGGCCCCATGTCAGGCTCCGTACTCAGTTGGAGTCTGCTTGTCCCTCTCCCTCTGCTCCTCCCCCCGTTCTCTTGTGCTCTCAAATAAATAAAAAATCTTTTAAAAAAACAGCTTGAGATGAATACATAGATAATTAATTTTTCAACATTCTTCTTTATTAGCTTATGCATTTACAGCTATGTATTTTCCTCAGGTTCAGCTTTAGCAATGCCACACATTTTGATATATTTTTATTATCATATAGTTAAAAAAAATTTTTTTTAAGATTTTATTTATTTGACAGAGAGATAGAGAGAGCACAAGCAGGGGGAGCAGCAGGCAGAGGGAGAGGGAGAAGCAGGCTCCCTGCTGAACAGAGAGCCCGATGCGGGGCTCGATCCCAGGACCCTGGGATCACGACCTGAGCCAAAGGCAGCCGCTTAACGACTGAGCCACCCAGGCGCCCCTAGTTAAAATTTTTTCTAATTTCCATTGCAATTTCTTCTTTGAGTCACCAGTTATTTATAAATTCATTGCTTAAATCCCAAATATTAAGGACATTTCTAGGCATCTTTTTGTTATTGATGTCTGGCTGAATTCCAGTGTGGTCAGAAAACATTATTTCAGTCCTTTAAAATTTATTGAGATTCCTTTATGGTCCAGCATGTGATTAATATGAATAAAGTCTCATAAGCATCTGAAAATAATATATACTGTAGTTGTAAGATACACTGTTCCACATATGACAGTTATGTCGTTTGTCAATTATACCGTTCTAATATTATATAGCTTTACTGGGCATATATTGATTGTTCTATCAGTGAAAAGTGCTGTGAAAAGTGAAAAAATGCTAAAAATCCCCTACTATGATTGTGTTTTGTCCACTACATCTTTTAATTCTGTCAAATAGATTTGAAACATTTTACAAAGGTATGTACATTTAGGACTATAATATCTTATTGGTGGACTAACCTTTTTATTATAAATTATTGCTCTTCCTGGCAAAGCTTCTGTTCTAAAGTCTGTTCTCATACAATTAAGTAGGAATGTAAATTGATACAATCATTTAGGAAAACTACCAGTGTATATTAATGCTGAATATATGCATAACCTACAACATAAGTATTTCACTCCTAGGGGTATACCCAACAGAATGCATTTATCTGTGCACCAAAAGACATGAAGAATGTTTAGAGTAGCCTTTTCCATAATAGCCCCAATCTGAAATCTTGAAAACAACTCAAATGCCAATCAATGATGGAATGGATAAATAAACTGTGTTATAGTCATACAATGGAATTTTAAACAGCAATAATAATGAATGATCCACAACATGATGCAACATGGATGAATCCTGCATATTCATACTACATAATATTATTACATATTATACTCATTATTACCTGTGAAATACATGTTAAAAAAAGCCAAGCACAAATTGTGTGATACTATTTATATGAAATTCCAGAACAGACAAAATTAATCTATGGCTGTAGAAGACAGAGTGATGGTTATCTTTGGGAGAGGTGAGTAGTGAATGGATGGGACAAGAATTAGGCTTCTAGAATGCTGGTAATGTTCTATTTCCTAATCTGATTTGAGATCTGGTTAAATGAATTTGCTCATTTTAAAAAATTCATCAAGTCACATATTTTGATTTCTGTACTTTTGGAATGTATGTTATACTTTGTACTGATACTTTGTATCAGCAAATAAAAAAAAATTAAAATACCAAGTGACCAAGTATTAGAATACAGATGACTATGTTGATAAACTGCTGGTAAGAATTTAACTGGTACAACCATATTGAAAACCAGTTCAGTATTATCTAGGAAATTTGAAGATACACACATATCCTATGGCCTGGCAACTGATTTGCATGTTTATACCCTAGGAAAGCATGCACATGTGCACCAGAGTACTTATAAAAACATGTTTAGAGCAGCCCTTTCAAGTGAGCCCAAAACAAGAAACAACCAACGTCCAAATATATAGCTGTGGTTTATAACAATAAGGATAAGCCTAAGAAATACAATATTGTGTGGGAAAACAAAAAAAACCAACAAGACTCAAAACATTACCCAGCACAATTTCATTTCTATAAAGTTAAAAAGACAAAACTAAACTATATTACTTAGGGATGTGTAGATATACAATAAACTGTTTGTTTGTTGTTGTTTTTTTTTAAACACCAACAAGAAAATACATTATCACCAAAGTCAGAATTAGGGTTACCTAAAGAGGTGAAGAGTATAGGTTTATTCTTGAAGCAGGAAGAACAGAGGCTTCTGGAGGGCTGACACAAGTTTTTGTCATACAGAGGTTCCCTTTATAATTCTTAAACTGTATGTCTATATTTTAAACACTTTTGTGTATGTATGTAATATTCAGGAATTTTTAACCAAGGAAAAACTAATTATATAATAGCTATAAATTTTAGTGAAAAGATAAAAATTTGAAATGATAAATGCTATGAGATTCTGATCTTGAAAATAATGTATACTGTATGAACACAGGAAATGTGTTAGAAGGAAATCAATCAATACATTGACAATGGTTATATCTGCGTGGTAGTTTACTTTTGCTCTCTATAACTTCCCATTTTCCAAATTATTTAAAATAATCATGTGTACGTGTCTATGTGTGTGTCTGTGTGTTGAAAAAGAAGCAAAAGCTTAATAACACTGGAGAAATTGAGCTATTTTCTAAATTAGTACGTGAACACTATGTAGAAGGAAATGAGGGGAAATGTTGGGATTTGTGTGCCCACCCCTAAAGCTTCCCATCATTTTCTTTAATGGAAATTTGTCCAGGTCACATAGATGACTCTCTGTTAAACAAGGCCATCCAGAAGAAGAAAAGCTTAAAAAGGATACCCCCTCGCACCTTCTATTTGGCTTCCTCAACAGCCATTCCTCCTCCTTCCTCTGGGGACCTATCTGAGAAGAGCAGAGCTGAGGAAGGAGAAAGGAATCGTGAGATGCCAGGCCTTTCTTGTGGCCTAGACTGACCAGAGCAGTAGTAGCTCTGGACTCATACCTACCACCCATGGAGAGAAGGGATGGAGTCTAGGCTGTTCACAGCATTCCTGTCTGAGCATGTCAGAAGGGAAGAAATCTCTGCTGTCCAAAACCAAAATCTTGTCTTGATCTCACACAACTACTGGGACAACACACACTGCCACTCTGGCAACAATTACTGGCACCCTCCAACTGCACACACGGTGCCACAAAAAGTTACATGTTCCCACTCACACGTCCTCACAAAGGCTTAGGTTGCTAACACAACCGCAACCACAAACACACATACAATCCTCAGATAACAGTCATGGCCGCATAATCAGATTCTGTACACTCCCCGCCTCCTACACACAGTATCACACAAAATGAACGCACACACTCACAGACCCGCCATGGGGACAGTCACACCTTACACACACACAGCCGCACAGTCTGAACCACACACCTACAACAGGGATATCCAGCCACACCTGTAAACAGAGGTCCGCGCATGGTCAGTCGCAATGACACACCCACCACAGGGAGAGACAATCACACCCCTACACGGAGCGCCGTACAGTCACATAAGGTCACAGCCGCACACATGGAATCCTGTTCGTCTTGTCCCTTCCCCCAGTCCGACGAACTCACACGCGCCGGAGATTCCAGACCCGCCCACACCACCCCTTCAGGCTGCTCCTCCCCAACCCACGGACGCACCTGCGCAGCCTAGTCGAGCCCCCAAGACTCGGGCCGCTCACCTTGTAATTCCCCTTACCGGGAGGCCGAGAATCGGGCAAGCGAGTGAAGGAGCGGCCCGAACACTGCGGAGGCCTCTGGGAAATGTAGTCCGGAAGCAGGTCGGCTCAGACAAGATGGCGCCTGGCGCTTCGATTTCCTGCCGGCGCATAAACCTGAGCCAAGCCGATAACCCTGCTCCCCTCTCCAGATCGCTGCAAGGGGTCTTCCAGATCCAAACGCAGTCTCCGAGTCGGGTTCCCACAGGAGACAGTCCACACATCCTGGAGATACGCTTCCTCCATGGGCCCTGCCAGTGCCTGGGAGCCACATGTTTCCGAAGAAATAGAAAAAGGTTGCCGCGTTCCCACGGAACTTGATTAGAGCCGCAAGAACTTCTGGGAAATGTAGTCTAGAGGTGGAAAGGGTGACGCTACCTCTCATGTAGCTTGTCTTAGTTGACTGCGCTAAGCTTGCCCACAGTGAAGAGTGGAGCCTCACCCAAGACTCTTTTAGAACTTGTATGTGTTAACCTTAAAAATAAAACTGTCAATTACTTTACCACCAAAATGGGTTTGTTGGGAATAACAGAATTGCAATTCAGGAGGAGAATGTTCTGCCAAAATGGTAAGCAAGTCCAGCAAACAAAGGAGAGGAACAACTCTTTCATGGAAAAGAAGGAGGAAGTTGGGAAGTTGTTTTGAAGGAAAATCCGTTGGAGAAAACTAGGGTGATAATGATTTATCATTGCCAAACTGCAGGGGTAGTCAGTTTCTTGTAGGTGATGCAATGTACATCTTTCCCCTTTGGGGCCTGTAATTTACATTCTTTCCTTTTGAGGGTCCTTAATTGACAATTCTTCCTATAACTGACAGACCCTCTTCTAGCCCCCTGACTCTACTTTAGTGAGTTTTCCCCTTACTAATTTTCACATAACCTACTGAGACCTGGGACCTGGGACCTGGGATTGATTGACTACATTGCCATTTTTGCCTTCCTCAGTGGATGAGTGTGTAGCAGGACCTGGACACTCCTCAGGGAACAGAAACCTGGGTGTCTCAGCCTGAATCCCACAAGAAAAACTGAAGGTGAGTAATCCAGAAGCTTGGAAGGGGGCTGATGGCAGGTTGTCTGGAGTGTCAGGCTGTGTGTGTGTGTGTGTGTGTATGTGTGTATGTAATAGTGGTGACTCAGAAGATGGCCCCAATGTGTGTAAGGCGATATGTGAATTTGGATGAGTTACCTCATTTTCTTCATCAGAAAACTAATGATACTTGGAGTGCATGTTCTTGTACCATCAGTTTTACTTGACTTTTGGAGAATCAAAAAAGCAAACCAAATGGTCTGACACATAGTTTCAAATATGTTTTTTTTATAAGATCATGTCTCTGTTCCTTGCATATGGCTATGGATCCCACACCCTCCAATGCCTTAGGGATCTTGTTTTCATGTGTACAATTTCAGTCTCCTTCTACAGCATTTGGAGTTGTATTTTATTCCTCTCCAGTCTTCTATGGTTTGATTCCTGACTCCCCCAGTTGGGAAAAAAAAAGACTTACTAGTATGGTCAGTACAACAGCTTAGATATTAATCCTACCCCTTTAACCTCTTGGAAACAATTAAAAGTCACAAATGGGGACCAAAACAGAAAAACCCAGTTTCAGCCAATAGGGATGCTTGGGTGGCTCAGTAAGTTGGGTGTGTCCAACTCTTGATTTCAGCTGAGGTCATGATCTCAGGGTTGTAAGATCGGGCCCCATGCTCAGCCCCCTCCGCTTGGGATTCTCACTGTCCCTCTCTCTCTCTGTCCTACCCCTCCCCCTGACCCGGCTGATGCTCTCTCTAAAACACACACACACACACACAAGCCTGTAACTCCAAAATAAATGTGAGTACTTCCTAATACAGTTGACATTAGGTAGAAGAATGTCAGAGAATGAGAGCTGGTAAGCAGAGGTGAGAAGTGGTGCTTAGAAGCTGATGAAGCCTATTAGAAAAGATTCCAGAAATGGTGGGGGCAGGAGGCAGAGCAGAATAACTTCAAGAAGACTAGGAGCTTACCTTGAAGGATAAACTTTGGAAACGGAAACGCCATGAAGATAGTAGAGGTCAAGCAGAGTGATATCAGGTGGAACCCATGTGCCAAGATCAGGACAGTCATGTTTAAGGGAAAATTGATTTAGAAAACTAAAATGTGTCTTTAAGATAAAATAAGACGAGGGGCGCCTGGGTGGCTCAGTCGTTAAGCGTCTGCCTTCGGCTCAGGTCATGATCCCAGGGTCCTGGGATCGAGCCCCACGTCGGGCTCCTTGCTCAGCGGGAAGCCTGCTTCTCCCTCTCCCACTCCCCCTGCTTGTGTTCCCTCTCTCGCTGTCTCTCTCTCTGTCAAAAAATAAATAAAATCTTTAAAAAAAAAAAAAAGATAAAATAAGACGAGTGTCCAGAGAAAACCTCAAGTTGCTTAAAGGAGAGAAACGTCAACTAGTGTCAAGTTTATTATACTCAAAAATATTTAGCACCACAAATCAGTGGAACAAAACTAAAAGGATAATCAAGGGAGTGAAAGCCAAAGATTTTGCCCAGAGTCAACGTGCAATTGAAGTATAGGTATAATTTATAGTCACCCTAAAATAAGAATGTGAACGAAGGTGACTTGAGAGCCAACAGTAGTAATATAAAGGTGGGTTTGTGCTAATAGAAAAACAGAGGGTGGCTATTAAAATGTAAAAATAGCTAAAAACAAACCAAACCCCTAAAAGATACTAAAGTGTTGGCTGATTCTGGTATGAGTGGAAGAGGATGGAGGAAATAAAGTAGAATAAGTAGGATTTGATGGAAGAAGAGTTTGCATGAGAATTATTTAGGACAAGAAAGAAGAATATGGATGCAGCTATTACAGAGATGAGAGTAGAAAAGAACTATGAGGAAGAGAGTAAAATGTGAAATAAAATGGCTGGTTATGAAGACTGTATGCTTCTGATTATGACAATCCTGAGATTCAATCCCAGTCCTGAAAATTACCATCTCTGACCTTGAACTAATGATGTGTGCTCTATGCACAACATATTCTATATCATCAAAAATCTTGATAACAGTTTTTTTTTTTTTTCAGGAGTGCCATATGGATCAAGGGAAACATGTATAAAGCTTACACAAAATAAGTCCCCGAAAGCTATTACATTAAACACTTCCCAACTCATTCTTTGAGGCCAATATTAAACATAGAGTTACTGTATGATCCCATAATTCCACTCCTATACATACACCCAAGAACACTGGAAATGTATATTTGTGCAAAAATTTGCACACGATTGTTCATTGCAGCATTATTTACAATAGCCAAAAGTGAAAACAACCCAAATGCCTATAAATAGATGAATGGACAAAAAAAATGTGGTATATCCATACAATATAATTTGGCAATAAAAAATACATGCCACAACACAGATAGTCCTTGAAAACATTATGCTGAGTGAAGAAGCCAGTCACAGAAGACCACGTTTCATTTATAAGAAATATCCAAAATAGGCAAGTCTATAGATACAGAGAGTAAATCAGAGTTACTTAGGGTTGGCAGGGTTAGGACAAATTGGGAGTGATTGCTGGTAGGTATAGGGTTTCTTCTTGGGGTGATAAAAATGTTCTTAGATAATGAGGACAGTCATACAGTTTGGGGGTTACAATTTTTCCACATCCTTGAAAACAGCTATTTTTCCATTTGTTAAAATTATAGCCATTCTAGTGGGTGTGAAGTGATATATCATTGTGGTTTTGATTTGCTTTTCCCCGATCATTAAAGATGTTTAGTGTCTTTTCATACAATTATTGGTCATTTGTATACCTTCTTTGGAGAAATGTCTATTCAGATCCTTTGCCCATTTAAAAATTGAGTTAGTTGCCTATTATTGAGTTGTCAGTATATTTTGGATAGACGTTCCTTAAAAGATACATGATTTGCAAATATTTTCTTTCATTTGGTGGGATGTCTTTTCACTTCTTAGAAGGTGTCCTTTGAAGCACAGAATATTTAATGATCTTGAAATGAAAATTATCTAATTCTTTTGTTGGTCATGCTCTTTTGTTTTTTTAATGCACCCCTATGTTTATTTTTTATTTATTATTTTTTTTATTCTTATGTTAATCCCCATACATTACATCATTAGTTCTAGATGAAGTGTTCCATGATTCATTGTTTGTGCATAACACCCAGTGCTCCGTGCAGAATGTGCCTCCTCAATACCCACCACCAGGCTAACCCATCCTCCCACCCCCCTCCCCTCTAGAAGCCTCAGTTTGTTTTTCAGAGTCCATCGTCTCTCATGGTTCGTCTACCCCTCCGATTTCCCCCGCTTCATGTTGGTCATGCTCTTGATGTTATATCTAAGTATCCTTTGGTAGTCTGAGACTATGATGATTTGCTCCTGTGTTTTCTTCAGAGAGTTTTACAGAAGTCTTCCTACCTTGTATTATGCTAAGTGAAATAAGTCAGAGAAAGACAAATACCATATGATCTCACCCATATGTGGAATTTAAGAAAGAAAATAGATGAACATATGGGAAGGGAGAAAAGAAAAAAAGGAGAAAGGGAAACAAGCCATAAGTAACTCAATGGTAGACAACAAACACTGTTGATGGAGGGAGGTGAGTGGGGGATGGACTAGATGGGGGATGGGTATTAAAGAGAGCACTTGTTGTGATGACCACTGGGTGCTATATGTAAGTGATGAATCACTGAATTCTACTCCAGAAATCAATATTACATTGTATGTTAACTAACAAAATTTAAGCTAAAAAAGTTATAACTCTTGAACTTAGCAGTCTGATCCATTTTGAGTTAATTTTTATAAATGATAAGAGATAAGGGCCCAACATCATTCTTTGCAGGTGGCTAGCACATTTATTTAAAAACCTGCTCAATTTTTCTCAACTGAATCATCAATATTGATTGATCCTATAGATGTTTGGGTTTATTTCTGCACTCTCAATTCTATTCCATTGATCTATGTTCCCATCCATGTACCAATATAATAGTGTGTGATTGTCCTTATAGTAACTTTAAAATAGAGAAGTAGGAGTCCTCCTACTTTGTTTTCCTTTTTCAAGGTTGTTTTGATTCTTCTGGATCCCTTGCAATTGCGTATGAATTTTAGAATCAGCTTGTCAGTTTTTACAAATAAGTCATCTGGGATTCTGATGGAATTATTTTGAATCTATAGATCAAACTTGGGGAGTACTACCATCTTAACAATATTAAGTCTTCCTATCTATAAACTTGGGATGTTTTTCCATTTGCTTAAGTCTTTTAAAATTTATTTAACCAGATGTTTTGTAGTTTTCTAAGTTTTATACTTTTTTGTTAAATTTATTCCTAAGTAGGGGCGGGTGGGTCAGTTGGTTAAGGGTCTGCCTTTGGCTCAGGTCATGATCCCAGAGGGTCCTGGGATCGAGCCCCGGGATCCCTGCTCAGCAGGAGGTCTGCTTCTCCCTCTCCCTGTGCCCCTCCCCATGCCTTTGTGCTCTCTCCCTCAAGTAAATAAAATCTTTAAATAAATAAATAAATTTATTCCTAAATATTTTATTATTTTGATGCTGTTGTAAATGAAATTGTTTTTAATTTCACTTTCAGTTGTACATTGCAAGTGTATATAAATACAACTGATTTTTTCTACAATAGAGCGACTCAATATTTGTATATATTGTGAAATGATCACAATAAGTCTAGTTAACATCTATCACTACACAGTTACAAATTTTTTTCTTGTGATAAGAATTTTTTTTTTTTAAAGATTTTATTTATTTATTTACTTGAGAGAGAGAGAGAGAGAAACAGCATGAAAGGGGATAGGGTCAGAGGGAGAAGCAGGCTCTCCGCCGAGCCGGGAGCCCAATGTGGGACTTGATCCCAGGACTCCGGGATCATGACTCGAGCCGAAGGCAGTCGCCTAACCAACTGAGCCACCCAGGCGCCCGTGATAAGAATTTTTAAGATCTATCCTCTCAGCAACTTTCAAATATACAAAACAATAGTACTAATTATTGTCACCATACTGTATATCACATCTTTAGAACTTACTTATAACTAGACCTTTGACCACCTTCACCCATTTCACCCACCCACACCCCTCACCTCTGGCAACCACCAATCTGTTCTCTGTACCTATGAATTTGGGTTTTGTTTTGTTCTAGATTCTGTGAGATCATACAGTATTTATCTTTCTTTGTCTGGTTGATTTCACTTAGCATAATGCCCTCAAGATCCAAACATGCTGTCACAAATGGCAAGATTTCCTTCTTTTTGTGGCAAAATAATATTCCACTTTCTAAATATATCATATTTTCTTTTTCCATTCATCCATTAATGAACACTTAGGTTGCTTCCACGTCTTGGCTATTGTAAATAGTGCTGCAATGAACATAGCGTGCATACACCTTTTTGAGTTAGTGTTTTCATTTCCTTTGGATAAATACCCAGAAGTGGAATTGCTGTATCATTTGGTAGTTCTACTTTTAATTATTTGAAGAAAGTCTATACTGTTTTCCATAATGGTTAACCAATTTACATTTCCACCAATAGTGCATAAAATATCCCTTTTCTCCACTTCCTTGCCAATGCTTATTTCTTGTCTTTTTGATAATAGTCATCCTATCAGGTATGAGGGGATATCTCATTGTGGTTTTGATTTGCATTTCCTTGATATGCTGAGCACATTTTCATGCCGTTATTGATCATTTGTATGTCTTTGGAAAAATGTCTATTCGGGTCCTCTGCCCGTTTTTTAATTGAAATTTTTTGTTTGTTTTTCTGTTGAGTTGCATGGCTTCTTTATATATTTTGGATATTAATCCCTTATCAGATATAAAGTTTGCAAATATTTTCTTCCATTCAGTAGGTTACCTCTTTATTTTGTTGATGGTTTCCTTTGCTGTGCTTTTTCATTTGATTTAGTCTACTTGTTGTTTTTGCTTTTGGTGTCAAATCCAAAAACTCATCACCAAGACTAATATCAAAGAGGTAACAGCTCTGCTTATTTCTAGGAGTTTTATAGTTTCAGGTTTTACATTCAAGTCTTTAATCCATTTTGAGTTAATTTTTAGGCATGACATAAGAGAGTGGTCCAGTTTAATTTTTTGCATGTTACTGTCCAGTTTTCCAACACCAAAAATTACCATATGATGCAGCAATTTGTATATTTTGTATATATACAAAAGAATTGAGAACAAGCTCTCAAAGAGATATTTGTACTCCCATGTTCATAACAGCATTATCCACAATAGCCAAAAGGTGGAGGCAACCCACGTGTCCATTGATGGATGAACGGTGTCACAAAATTTACATAGAATATTATTCAGCCTTAATAAGGAAGAAAGTTCTTCAGTATGCTACAATATGGATGGACCTCAAGGACATTATGCTAAGTGACATGATCCAGTCACAAAAAGACAAATGCTGTATGATTCCACTTATATGAGGTACCTAGAGTAGTCCAATTCATAGAGACAGAAAGTAGATGGTGGATGCTGGAAGATGGGGAGCAGGAGGAATAGAATTTTTATTTAATGAACATAGAGTTTTAGTTTTGTAAGATGAAAAGAGTTATGGAGATTGGTTGTACAACAATGTGAATGTATTTAACACTACTGAACTGTACACTTAAAGATAGTTAAGATGACAAATATTATGTATATTTTATAACAATTTTAAAAACTCTGTACCTGAATGTAGCAGTTTTGTTCATAATAACTCAAATCTGGAAACAATCCAGATATCCTCCAATGATAAATGATTACAGTGTGGTATAGCCATACCATGGAATATTACTCATCAATAATATGAAATGATCTATTGATTCACACAACAACCTGTATGAATATATAGAGAATTATGCTGAGTGAAAAAAAAATCATAAAAGATTATCTACTGCATGATTCCATTTTACATATAACATTCTTTATTTATTTATTTATTTTTAAGATTTTATTTATTTGACAGAGAGAGACACAGCGAGAGAGGGAACACAAGCAGGGGGAGTGGGAGAGGGAGAAGCAGGCTTCCCGCTGAGCAGGGAGCCTGATGTGGGGCTCGATCCTAGGACCCTGGGATCATGACCTGAGCCAAAGGCAGATGCCAACGACTGAGCCACCCAGGTGCCCCTATATATAACATTCTTTAAATGACAAAATGTAGAAATGGAGACCAGAATAGTGGTTACCAGAGATTAAGGAGGGGATGAAGTTGAGAGGGAAATGAGTATGACTAGGAAAACATGAAGGATCCTTATGGTAATGGGCATGTTTTGTATCTTGACTATATCAAGGTCATATACTTAGACCTTGTGATATTATACTATAATTTTGCAAGATGTTACCATTGAGAGAAACTGCATTAAGTATACACAAGATTTCTGTATTGTTCTTTTTTTTTTGAGAGAGAGCACAAGGGGGGGTGGGTGCCAAGGGAGAAGGAGAGACTCTCAAGCAGACTCTGCACTGAGTGCAGAACCCGACAAGGCACTATAGTCTTAACTGGTCAGTCTGGAGTTTTCTGGTCAGCACCAATGAGGTAATCTGCTACATAAGGCAAAGGAAGATGAGGTAATCCTTTCTTTCATTATCCTTTCCTCTATCATTCTATAAATGCCTTCCATTTTGCACAGCTCCTTTGAGCTCCTATTTACTTGTCAGGTGGGATGCTGCCCAATTCATGAATTGTTCTTTGAAAATTAGTAATGGGAAACCTAACTAAAATGGATTCAGGAGGTTTGGGCAGGGACACTCTTGTCCTAGCATTGGTAGTCAATTGCAGACCCAGCAGGAAGAGATTGACTTGACCTTGCATGTGGAAACTACTATTCCAGGCAAAGAACAGACTTTCCTTATCCCCAGGGCAACAGCTCAGCCAATGAGAAGCCACCATACTTTGAACTCCCAGTTTACTCCAGTGGACTTTTTTAACAGCCTTCCCAACTTAACTCTTTTGTCCTTAAAAAAAAGCTCACCACCTCTCCTTTGTTTCCTGGACTTGCCTAAGGGTTTTGCCTTGGCTTGTGATTGTCTTTTATTCCTAAATAAACCTATCTTTTGCTGATAAAATATTCAGTAAAGTCAATCACATCTTCAAATTGACTCAGTTGAATTTTGTGTTGCTTTTTTTTTAAACAGGGTCTGAAATGCCCAGTGTTTATCACCCACTTGGTTGAGCACAGATCTCAGCCACCATAAAAATGCCTACCCAGGAAATCAACCTCTGAGTACCCCTAGTAAGGCCAAGTCCCATGCCCAGACTTGGTGGAGTACAAAGTCCCTTCCACCAGATTCCTGGTGTTTTCATCTCCAGACCACAGTTTTCAGATAGCTCTGCAACTTCCCACATCAAGTTCTTCAGGGACTTGGAGTTCTTTCCTGCATCAATCACACACTCAGGCCGGTGGGCCACACCTGGGAGCCCTCGATCGGATTCTAGACCGAAATTCCTGAAGCGTGGGGACAGGAATTCAGATCCCGCCCGGGCGGCGCCATTTTTTCCGCGCAGTCTGGCTCCAGACTACATTTCCCAGAGGTCCCGCGGCCCTAGTCAACTTACTGCGACAGTTTTGAGTTTGGTCCCACGCGAGCTGGACTTCGACCTGACCGCCGAGAGTCGGGGGAGACTGTGGTAGGCGTGGCTCAGCTCGGCTTGTTTGGAGCTAACCGTGGAGTGGCTCGAGGTGAGGCAACGTGAGCCCTTGTGGAGTGGAAGCGGGCTCTTGAGGCTCGAGGTGAGGCAACGTGAGCCCTTGTGGAGTGGAAGCGGGCTCTTGAGGCTCGAGGTGAGGCAACGTGAGCCCTTGTGGAGTGGAAGCGGGCTCTTGAGGCTCGAGGTGAGGCAACGTGAGCCCTTGTGGAGTGGAAGCGGGCTCTTGAGGCTCGAGGTGAGGCAACGTGAGCCCTTGTGGAGTGGAAGCGGGCTCTTGAGGCTCGAGGTGAGGCAACGTGAGCCCTTGTGGAGTGGAAGCGGGCTCTTGAGGCTCGAGGTGAGGCAACGTGAGCCCTTGTGGAGTGGAAGCGGGCTCTTGAGGCTCGAGGTGAGGCAACGTGAGCCCTTGTGGAGTGGAAGCGGGCTCTTGAGGCTCGAGGTGAGGCAACGTGAGCCCTTGTGGAGTGGAAGCGGGCTCTTGAGGCTCGAGGTGAGGCAACGTGAGCCCTTGTGGAGTGGAAGCGGGCTCTTGAGGCTCGAGGTGAGGCAACGTGAGCCCTTGTGGAGTGGAAGCGGGCTCTTGAGGCTCGAGGTGAGGCAACGTGAGCCCTTGTGGAGTGGAAGCGGGCTCTTGAGGCTCGAGGTGAGGCAACGTGAGCCTCAAGCGGGCTGAGGGGTAGAGGTTGTGGACGCGGGTGGGTGTGAGTGTGTGACGGTGTGCGGCGCCTGTGATCTTGCGTTTGACAATCATGTCCCCGTGGCGGGTGTATGATTGTGACGTTGTGTGACTGTGTGTGTGTGTGTGTAGGTGCGGGGAGCCCGTGTCTCTGCTGTATGACTGTGTGTATCCCTGGTGTGGTTCATCTCCGAGAAACCGTGTGTGCTAGTGGGTGGTGCCTATGACAGTACAGATGTCGTGTGTGTATGCGAGGTGAGTGTGCGATTGTTACCGTGACCGTGGCATTGCGTGTATGGTCATGGAGTGCCTCCGACTGCCATTGTGACTCCAATACTCTGTCCCAGGAGACCCCTATAACTCAGGACCCATCTGGCCAGTCCTTCCCTGAGACAGCCTCTTCTGACCTCCCTCCTCTCTTGATGGGAGGAGTGGGACTGAGACAGGGCTTGGGCACCGTTTTTGCCGGAAAATTTTAACAAGTACTCTTAGCGGCAGCCAGTTCTGGCCTGAGGTTGGGCAGCCTAGTCTGTATTATCTTGGACCATATCAACTTGATTCTTGCTTTAGATCAGGAGAAGTGGGGATGCCTGGGTGGCTCAGCCCATTAAGCGTCTGCCTTCGGCTCAGGTCACGATCCTAGACTCCTAGGATAGAGCCCCACATCGGGCTCCCTGCTCTGCGGGAAGCCTGCTTCTCCCTCTGTCTGCCACTCCCCCTGCTTGTGCTGTCTCTCTCTCTCTCTCTCTCTGACAAATAAATAAATAAAATCTTAAAAAAAAAAAGATCAGGAGAAGTGAAAATATGAAGTAGGTTATGATGGTGCTTGCAAGTAAGATGATGATCAGTATTCAAGTGATCTAGAGCAGTAATTATTAAGCTTAGAGCAGTTTCAAGGGTATGAAAATCCCCTTCAAACTGTAAAGTACAACTTCTGCAGCTACTTGATTTTGTGCTTCATCCCCAACCCCAATACTTTCCTGAGAATCACAAGGGGGGGGGACATGACCCTCATGCTAAAATAATAATAATAAAAACATTTTTTTAAAGATTTTATTTATTTATTTGACAGAGAGAGACACAGCGACAGAGGGAACACAAGCAGAGGGAGTGGGGGAGGGAGAAGCAGGCTTCCTGCGGAGCAGGGAGCCCGAGGCTCGATCCCAGGACGCTGGGATCATGACCTGAGCCGAAGGCAGACACTTAACGACTGAGCCACCCAGTCGCCCCGTAATAAAAACATTTTTTACAGTGAAAGACCAGGCCTAAAATCAAAGTCTTGGGATGACCTTTAAGGTGATAATATCCAAAAACAACAGTGGGGATATGGTTAAGTTAATCCAGGCCATATCCATGTAATAGAATTTTTTACAACTAATACATATTGTTTTCAGAGTTTGTGTAATTTTTTTAATGTTCTGAAACATGTCGGTGGTATTTGCTTCAGTCACACTGATTTTCTTAATGGCCCATATTCCTGTCACAGGCATGTGTTTACAGCCTATTCATAATTTTCTTACCATATAGGATGCTCCTACCCTATCTCTGGTTAATTTTTTTTTTCACGAAATAAAAATGACTTTATAGCCTGTTTTTCTGATGACAGTATTACAGACTTAATGAAAAACAATCAGGAACTTGAGATTATAAAGAATCAGATTTAAATTACCTATAATTTCATCATCCAGAAGTACTCATTATTTTCAAGAATGTATTTCCACATTTTTACTTGCATGGTTTTATAGTTTAATATGGTGAGATTACAATATACTTACCTTCTGTTACTTGCCTGCCCCTCTCAATAATGCAAAAAAAAAAAGAGACATTTTCCTTTTTGTGGATAAGCACTATCATAACTAATAATTGTGAATTGTGATCATAATGTATTTTATGGGATACTAACCCTTTATCAGATATGTCATTTGCAAATATCTTCTCCCATTCCCTGGGTTGCCTTTTAGTTTTGTTGATTGTTTCCCTCGCTGTGCAGAAGCTTTTTATTTTGATGTAGTCCCAATAGTTTATTTTTGCTTTTATTTCTCCTGCCTCAAGAGACCTGTCTGGAGGGTGCCTGGGTGGCTCAGATGGTTAAGCGTCTGCCTTCGGCTCAGGTCATGATCCCAGGGTCTTGGGATCGGGTCCCACATCGGGCTCCCTGCTCCTTGGGAGCCTGCTTCTCCCTCTGCCTCTCTCTCTCTGTCTCTCATGAATAAATAAATAAAATCTTAAAAAAAAAAAAAAAGAGACCTGTCTGGAAAGATGTTATTATAGCTGATGTCAGAGAAATTACTGCCTGTGGTCTCTCCTAGGATTTTTATGGTTTTAGATCTCAAATTTAGGTCTTTAATTCATTTTGAGTTTGTTTTTATGTAGTAAGAAAGTGGTCCAGTTTCATTCTTTTGCATGTAGCTGTTGAGTTTTCCCAACACCATTTGTTGTAGAGACTGTCTTTTCCCCATTGTATATTCTCTCCTCTTTTGTCAAAGATTAATTTAACAAATTTTAGGAGTGTTTGTTCTAGTTCTGGGAAGAATACTGTTGGTATTTTGATAGGGATTGCATTAAATCTATAGATTGCTTTGGGTGGTATAGACATTTTAACAATATTTGTTCTCCCAACCCATGATATACCGTTGTTCTTGAATGTCATAGACTCTGATGTGTCCTCACAAAAGGGGAAAAATGAAACATATAGGGAGAGCTGGTCTTTTAAATCTGGAAGTCACTTTAGCTGGAGAGGGAAGGGCTTGCAACAAAGAAGGAATTGTAGCAACAGTAACCTGCTTCTTTGTCTGCATCTCTCCGATCAGAAGCAACAATCTGCAATCAGAGCAGAGATCCCCCAAATCTGGAGGACAGGGTCCTTTTCTCTCACCCTGGCTCCTGGAAGCTATGTGCCAGCAGCTGCAGGAACACATGCACAGGTGCCTGCCACTTGGCTGGGGATGGCCATTGGATATTACTACTTGGCTAAGAGCTGAAATTGACCAAAAGTGACTAGAATTTATTATACAAGCCTTTCTCTGCAAGCCTTCAATAGACTCCAGAGTTTTTGTTTGTTTGTTTGTTTGTTTTTAAGAGAAAGAGCGCACACCCAATTGTAGGGGTGGGGCGGTGCAGAGGGAGAGGAAGAGAATCTTAATCAGGCTCCACACCCAGCACGGAGACTGACGTCAACAGGGCTCAATCTCATGACCCTGAGATCATGACCTGAGCCAAAATCAAGAGTAGGATGCTTAATCTGCTGAGCCACCCAGGTGCCCCTGACTCCAGAGTTCTAAAAGTTACATCAGATTCTGCCAGCACAATTGTTGTCTAGATGAGGAGACAGATTGCTCGTTCTTCTACTCTGCCATCTCCCAGAATCTGAGATCTTCTATATTTCTTCATTTCAAGAGTGTTCAACAGCACGGTTATAAAAGCTTCTTTAAAGGCATTGATAATTTCAACCATCTGTGTCATTTTAGCATTTGCATCTATTGGTTGTCTTTGTCCTTACAAGTTGAAGTTTTTCTAGTTCTTTGATGAATTTTTTTTTGCTGTGTGTTTGGAAGGCCATTCATTCAAGGGGCATAACACTGGTCCTTAGTGTAGGAGACAGCCATTATGTTCTACATTCCCTCATATGTCCTTTGTGTTTATGTATGTGAGTAGATGGCATGGGCAAGGAGGGTAGGAATAGGAAGGAGAGTGAAAGTGATAGTTTTTATTTTTTTTTAATTTTTATTGTAAAATGTAACAGATGCAGGAAACTGCACAATGTAAACATATAGCTTAATGAATTATTGTAAGGCCAATACTCTTGTAGTAGTGGGGGTCATATTTAACCTGATGATTCAGAGACCCGTTAGCAAGTCTTATTTCTCACTGCCTTTTCTTTTCCTTCCTCAGTTTTGTCTTCTCTGAACTAAGCCTGTCTCCAAGGGAAGAGGGAATAAAGCTGAAGAGAAAGGAAAGAAAAGAGTAGAAATGAATAGTGCTTATGATCCTGAGTATGACTGAGGTTATTGGGGTTTTCTCTCTTTTTCCAGGATTACAATAATTTCTTTCCAGGCCATTAGATTAGATTTCCTTATCCTGAAACTTTCTTTCACACTGAGCCCCATCCAGGAGCCTGGTTCCAAGCTTCTCCCTTCCAACAGTGGTGGGATGCATAGTCCAGAGCCTTGCTCCATACCATTCTCTTCTTTTTACACCTTTACATACTCATTCGATGAATCAATTGGCAAACCTTGTGCTCAGTCTTTTAATAGGAGCACTTCCCTCAAGGAACCAGGAAGTCATCCCTCATCAGATTTGGGGTTTAGTGAAGTAGAGATATATGAATTTCATAAGTAATATATAACTTTGTTTTTTCAGCAAGCAGTGATGTTCAGGGATGTGGCTGTAGACTTCTCACAGGAGGAGTGGGAATTTCTGGACTTGAAGCAGAGGGACTTGTACAGAGATGTGATGTTGGAGAACTACAGCCACTTGGTTTCATTGGGTAAGGATGCTCTCCCCCCCTCCCCCAGTAATTAAGATTCCACTTTATATACAGACCTGTGTATAGACAACTTTTGTATATGCATATAGGATAGTTTTTTTGAATTTACACAACAGTACATAAAAGTAGTTGATACTGAAAAAAACTCTTCTACCTAGAATGCCTCCATCCTCTGCTATAAATTTTCTGGATGCCATTCTGACTTTCTGCTTCTGAACAGAGCAATTTGAACTTTGTAGAATTGGAAATGGGCAGTCCTTTTGTACTGTGGCTAAAGCTTCATCTTCCCCACTCTTTAGACAATCTTGACATATTTCTCTGAGTTTTCCACTTCTTTACCAAGGAATTGGGTCTGAAGTTTGGATATCCTTGGCATAACTAAGTCCTATTTCCATTTTTGTTGTTGTCAACAGGACTCTCTCTTCCTAAACCAACTTTGATTTCCTTTTTGGAACAAGATAATGAGCCTTGGATTGTTGAGAAAGAGTCACCAAAAAGCCTATACCCAGGTAGGTGAGGGAAACTTAGAGAGGGGGAAGCTGCTGCAGGAATAGACCACCTGCTCAGTGAGATGATAGCCCTTAGGCAAGACTGTCCAGAATGTTCTTCAAAGAGGGAGGTGTCCTCTTTTTTTCCCCAGTGACAAGTGTTCTGGCTATAATTAAGATCCAGTTATTTCCCTGTTCCTCTTTCTCTTTTGGTCTTGTATAGTTTCTCCATCTTCTGATGTATGTATTCTTTTCTCTAAATATTACTCATATTATTTTAGCTCCTTTCCAGTAATCTGCCCCCATTTCTTTACTAGTTTCTCTCTCTTCTTTGAAAAGATTTTACTTATTCAAGAAAGAAACAGAAAGAGCATGAGCAGGGGGAGGAGCAGAGAGAGAGGGGGAGAGGGACAAAGCAGACTCCTCACTGAGCCAGGAGCCCAATGTGGGGTTCAATCCCAGGACCCTGAGGTCATGACCTGGGCTGAAGTCAGATGCTTAACTGACTAAGCTACCCAGGTGCCCCTACTAGTTTCTCTTTGATTCAATGTTTTATTTATTCATTTTTTAATTTCTCAGATTATAGAATATGTTCATTTTTATTGTGGTAGAAAAAAACAACATACATAACAATTTGCCGTCTTAACCATTTTTAAGTGTTCAGTATAGAAGTAATTATGCATATAAGAGCTATAGAATTTTTTCATCTTGCAAAATTGAAACTCTATATTCATTAACAATCACTCCCTTTCCCCTCCTCATCACCTGGCAACCATTTTACTTTCTGTTTCTAAGAGTTTGACTGCTTTAGATATCTCATATAAGTGGAATCATGCACTATTTGTCTTTTTGTGACTGGGTTATTTCACTTCACATAATGTCCTCAAGGTTCATCCATGTGAAGGTTGTAGCATATGACAGGTTTCCTTTTTAAGGCCAAATAATATTCAATTGTATGTATATACCATATTTTCTTTATCCATTCTATTGTCAGGACATTAGGTTGCTTCTACTTCTTGGCTATTGTGAATAATGTTGCAATGAACATGGGTGTGCAAATATTTCTTCAAAATCCTGTTTTCAGTTCTTTTAGATATATACCCAGAAGTGGAATTGCTGGATCATATGGCACCTCTATTTTAATATTTTGAGGAACCTCTATATTGTTTTCCATAGTGGCTGCACCATTTAACATTCCCACCCACAGTGCATGAGGGTTTCAATTTCTCTACATCCTTGTCAACACTCTTTATTTTCTGTTCTTTTTTTGATAGTGGTCATCCTAATGAGTATGGGGTTGATATCTTGTTATGGTTTTGTTTTGCATTTCCCTGATGATTAGTGATACCTTTTCATGTGCTTGTTAGCCATTTGTATTTCTTTTTTGGAGAAATGTCTATTCAAGTCCTTTGCCCACTTTTAAATCAGGTTGGGTTTTTTTTTAATTGTTGTTGAGTTGTAGGGATTCTTTGTGTATTCTGGATATTGACTCCTTACCAGGTATATGGTTAGTAAATATTTCTCCCATCCCATAGATTGCCTTTTCACTCTCTGGACTGTTTCCTTTGTTGTGATATTTTTAAGTTTGAGGTAGTCCAATCTTTGTGTTTTTACTTTTGGTGTCATATCCAGGAAATCATTGCCAAATGGAATGTCATGAAGCCTTCCCCCTATGCTTTCTTCTAGGAGTTTTAAGTTTCAGGTTTTATCTTTAGGACTTTAGTCCATTCTTAGTTCATTTTTGTGTATGGTATAAGGTAAGGATCCAACTTCATTCTTTTGCATGTGGATATCCAGTTTTCCCAGCACCATTTGTTGAAGAGACTGTCCTTTCCCTGTTGGGTAGCTGTGACATCCTTGTTGAAAATCATTTGATGATATATGTAACTCATTTATTTATTTTTGCTAGCCTACTTATCTTTTTAAGTTTTTATTTAAATTCCAGTTAGTTGGGAGGGAGGCAAGATGGTGGTAGAGTAGGGGACCTCATTTCATCTGGTCCCTTGAATTTAGCTAGATAACTATCAAAGCATTCTGAACACCCATGAATTCAGCCTGAGATATAAATTCCAGTTAGTTAACATACAGTGTAATGTTAGTTTGAGATGTACAATTTAGTGATTCAACACTTCCATACAATACCCAGTGCTCATCACAACAAGTGTACCTTTTAGTCCCCATCACCTATTTAACCCACTCCTCCACCCGCCTCCCCTCTGGTAACCATCAGTTTGTTCTCTATAATTAGGAGTTGGAGTGGCTAAAACTAACAACACAAGAAACAACAGGTGTTGGTGAGGATATGGAAAAAGGGGAAGCTTCTTGCACTGTCGGTGGCAATGCAAACTGGTACAGCCACTCTGGAAAACAGTATGGAGGCTCCTCAAAAAGTTAAAAATAGAACTACCATATGATCCAGCAATTGTACTCCTGGGTATTTACAAAAATACTAATTCTAAGGGATACATGCACCCTGATATTTATAGCAGTATTATCTACAACAGCCAAATTATGGAAAGAGCCCAAATGTCCATCAACTGATGAATGGTTAAAGATGTGGTATATATAAACAGTGGAATATTACTCAGCCATAAAAAGGATGAAATCTAGCCTACTTATTTTTGAAGTTAAAGTGCCAAAAATTTGGGGGTGCCTAGGTGGCTCAGATGGTTAAGCGTCTGCCTTCAGCTCAGGTCATGGGATCGAGCCCCACATCAGGCTCCTGGCTCAGTGGGGAGCCTGCTTCTCCCTCTCCCTCTGCCTCTCCCCCTGCTCATGCTCTCTCTCTCTCTCTCTGTATCTCTGTGTCTCAAAGGAATAAATAAAATCTTTAAAAAAAAAAGTGCCAAAAATTTGTCAGATGCAGAGAAAGCCATTTAAAGAATTAGATTAAGAAGTTGGAGGGTGTCCCTCTCATCTACCCCTTAAACATATCCCCTGCACAAGCCTCCTTTTCATTAGTATTTGGTTTGCTAATTTGTACGTAATACTTTACCAGATGATTAAAAAAAAGTTCCTAAGTAATTTACTGTATAATAGGGGAACCACAAATAACTTCCAAAAGGTACAGACAGAGAAATCAAAAGAAAGTGAGGCTTAAAGATGTAGCCATGGGATTTATCAAAGTGGAGCCAGTAGGTGGAATGTGGGAATGAGGAGACTGTCAGAGAGATTGCAAATAAAGCCTCATTGTATGTGCTGAGGAAGAGGAGGTAAAGAAGAACTTAGATATGAAGGCTGAGGATTAGGAGAGTGCAGGGCCAGAAAACCAAGTCCTAATTATCAAAAAGGTCAGCAGTGGCACATATCTGTGAAAACAGGAGGATAAAAAGCCACCAAAGGCTGTGACATTTGACATGTCGTCTTCAAGGACCTTAAAAGTTCATTGGGCAGAAGTGAGATTACAAACGAAAGGCACCAAATAATTATTCTTCATTTGAAATGTGAGGGATAGAGAAGAAATTGTTTTTCTTTATTAAAAAAAATACATTTCTGAGATCTTAGGGGCATGTTTCAGATATTTTAGTCATAATATATTGTGAAGTTAAATGAGGCATATATTTGTTTAAATATGATATTGAAGGGCATCTGGGTGGCTCAGTTGGTTAAGCGTCTACCTTTGGTTCAGGTCATGATCTCTGGGTCCTGGAATTGAGTTCCACATTGGACTCCCTGCTCAGTGGGGAGTCTGCTTCTCCCTCTACCCCTTCCCCCTGCTTATGATCTCTCATTCTCTCAAATAAATAAATAAAACTTTAAAAAAATAAAAAATAAATATGATATTGAGCAGTCATTTTATAAACTTTATGCATGTAGGAAAAGAGGGAATAGAAGTGACATTTTTCTTGCTTAAAGAAAATTTGCAATTTGGTAGAAGTAAATCCTGTTGTTTTTGGAAATACTATATAGCATTATTCTTTTTTACTTTAAAAGTTTATAAATATTGGGTTGCCTGGGTGGCTCAATCAGTTGAGTGTTGGACTCTTGATTTCAGCTCAGGTCATGATCTCAGGGTCGTGGGATCAAGCCCCACGTTGGGCTCTGCACTCAGCACAGAGTCTGCTTGAGATTCTCTCCCTCCCTGTCCCCCCCAAAATAAATAAATAAATCTTTAAAAAAGGTTTATAAATATTTAGTAAAATATAAGAAAATGCAAACTTGTAATTGTATCAACTAGAGAAAATCACAGGATTGCACCGTGCAAACTTCACTGTATCATGGATAACTTTCCTTATTTGTAATCTGGATCACAATTTTTAGTTACTTAGTATTCTGTCATATGGATTTTTTCATGTACTTCACCAAAATCCCAATGATAAATATGGAGATTATCTTTAAAAATTTGCTATTAAAAATACAGCTTTACCACTTCACAGCTACTAAGATGGCTATAATAAAAAAATAATAGCAATTGTTAGCAAGGATGTGGAGAAGCTAGAACCCTCATACATTGCTGGTGGGAATGTAAGGTGGGGCAGCTATTCTGTTTGACAGTTTCTCAAAAGGTTAAACATAGAGTTACCATTTTACCCAGCAATTATACTCCTAGGTATTTACACAAGAAAATCAAATGTACCCAGAAAAACTTGTACATGACTGTTCATTGCAGCATTATTCACAATAGCCAAAAAGTAGAAACAACTCAAATGTCCATTAGCTGATGAATAGAAAAATAAAATATGGTATAGCCATACAATGTAATATTATTTGTCACTAGAAAGGAGTGAAGTACTAATATACACCACAATATGGATGACCCTTGAAAATATATGTTAAGTGAAAGAAGCCAGACACAGAAGACTATATATTGTATGATTCCATTTATATAAAATGTCCAGAACAGGCAAATCTGTAGAGATACAACGTAGATTAGTTGTTGCCTAGGGCTGGTGAGATTGGGGGCAATGGGAAGTTACTGCTGAAGGATACAGCTTTCTTTTCGATTTTGAGATGATGAAAATGTTCTAAACTTGACTGTGGTGATGGTTGCACAACTGTATAAATATACTAAAAATCACTGAATTATGTTCTCTAAATGAGTGAATTGTATGGAGTGTGATTTGTATCTCAATAAAACTGTTAGAAAAGAACATGATCTCCGATACTCTCTTAATTATACCCTTCTCTGATTTTTAAAAATTATTTTTAATTACAAAAGGTATATATACATGCATTCTTCTTTGTAAAAACAGATATTGCATTGATTGATTGATTGGCTATCTATATGTCTTCTTTGGAAAAATGTCTATTTAGGTCCTCTGTCCATTTTTTAATCGAATTGTTTGTGGGGATTTTTGGTGTTGAATTGTATGTTCTTTAAAGTTTTTTTTTTTTTTTTGAGAGAGAGCAGAGTGAGCAAGAGAGAACACAAGTGGCGGGAAGGGGTGGAGGAAGAGGGAGAAGCAGTCTCCCCACTGAGCAGGGAGCCCAATGCTGGACTCCATTCCATGACTCTGGGATCATGACCTGAGCCGAAGGTGGACGCTCAACTGACTGAACCACCCAGATTCCCTATCCACCAATCTACTTTCTATTCGTATGAGTTCAGCTTTTTAGATTTCACATATAAATGAGATCACTTTCTCTTTATGACTTATTTCACTATGCATAATGCCCTTAAGGTTCATCCATGTTGTCACAAATGGCAGGATTTCCTTCTTTTTTATGGCTGAATATAAACACGACCTTTTCTTTATCCATTCATGTGTCACGGGACACATAAGTTGTTCCATGTCTTGGCTATTGTGACTAATGCTACAATGAACATGGGGGTACAAATATCTCTTCAAGATAGTGATTTCATTTCCTTTGGATACATACTCAGAAGTAGGATGATTGGATCATATAGCAGTTCAATTTTTAATTATTTGAGGAACCTCAATACTGTTTTCCACAGTGGCTGTAATAATTTACATTCCCACCAACATTGTACAAGGGTTCCCTTTTCTCCACATCCTGGCCAGCACTTGTTATCTCCTGTCATTTTGATACTAGCCATTCTGTCAGGCATGAGGTGATATCTCATTGTGATTTTGATTTGCATGTCCCTAATGATTAGTGATGTTGAGTACATTTTCATGGACTCAGCCATTTGTATGTCTTCTTTGGAAAAAATGTCTATTCAGGTCCTTTTCCCATTTCTTAGTCACACTATTTTTTTGCTGTTGAGTTGTATGAGTTCCTTATATGTTTCGGATATTAAACCCTTATCAGATACATGGTTTGCAAATATTTTCTCCCTATATGAGAAATCATTTATGCTTGGGATTATCGGCGGTGGACATCAAGAGAAGAGAAAAAAATCAAAAACCTATTTAAGAGCTAGGCAAGGGGCGCCTGGATGGCTCAGTTAGTTGAGCGACTGCCTTCAGCTCAGGTCATGATCCTGGAGTTCCGGGATCGAGTCCCACATCGGGCTCCCTGCTCGGCAGGGAGTCTGCTTCTCCCTCTGACTCTCCCTCCTCTCATGTGCTCTCTCTCTCATTCTCTCTCTCAAATAAATAAATAAAATCTTTAAAAAAAAAAAAAAAGAGCTAGGCAAGATTTTCTGAATGTTGAAGAAGATCTGATGCTAGAATAATGTTTACCTTTTGGCCTATGCTTCTCAGCCTGGCACTACTTTGATGTCTTCAAAATAGTTTGCCTTATCCAATTTCATCATTTTTGTGAAAATATTTTTTCTTTATTATAATTAACACTTATTAAAATAGCATTTTAGGGACTTTACCCAAATTATTCTCTTCTTTTTATTATAGAAATTTTCAAATATTTGCAAAAGTAAAGAGAATAATATAATAATGTACCTATCACCGAGCTTCAGAGTTTCCATTGTTTTCCCAATCTCACCCTAAATTACTCTTAATTTTAGCAATTAACTTATGTTAGGTGTTACCATCATTTTAGAGATATGGAAGTGGGACTTAGACATTGTAAATAATTCTTCCAATGACACAATCCTTGTAATTAGCAGAGCCGAGACTTGAAATCCAGTCTCTGTGATACAGTTCCTTGGATCTTCCCTCTACACCGCTTTGCATTTTATTCTGTCATGCTATCCGAAGGTTGCTTTCACTTCAGACTGTCAGTGGCTATTGCCATCGGTGAGTCTACTTGTTTCTTATCCTTGGTGAGCATCTTCACATGCCAAGCAAATAAATGGTATTTTACACAGTCTCTACTCTAGATATAAAAACTACCTCCTTGTCATCTGCTCATAGCAGACTCATTGAGCCCTTTGAACTTTCCCCAGGATATTTTCCACTTTGAATTGCCATTGTCTTGCTTCATCAACTAACACCCAACATTCTTTTTATTACAGAATTTATGGCTCACTAGCCACCAAGACACCCTTTGTCCCGTTGGAGGGTATCCTCTAGTTTCCCCACATCAGCAAATCTATATGTTCATAATCACATGAAACTTAAGTTATATAATTTTGCTACAATGCATAGAACATCATAGAGATTCTTTTAAAATAATGATTATGGAACTTAATTGTTTTCCCTGTTAACTTCCTGATATTTTCCTATATCCCCATTCTAATTCCTTTTCCTTAACCCTCACCATTCAATAGTTACTTATTGAACACCTGTTTTATATATATATATATATATATATATATATATATATATATATGGTAGATATTGTGCTAAAAAGCTGATTAAATAATAGTGAAACAAACATGGTGCCTTCCAATAGGAATCTTATAGCCTAGTGTAGAAAATGAGAAAAATAAATGAGGGAAAAATTGTGAAAATTATGGTTAGTCATCCTGGACTAGAATAAGATTTGGTGTTGTCTGACGCTGTTTGAGAGGAGGGATTTTTAGTGTTATTTGTAATTATATTTACACTGAGAGCAGAAGGATGAGAAGGGGCCAGCCATACAAAGACAGTACCTGCCAGAACAGCAATGCAAATCACGCTAATGTAGAAAAGTTTTTTATCTGCTTTTGGAACAGAGCATAGTGAACTGGGGAAGAGCATGGTTCAGTAATATGTTAGCTAGGGCCAGCTCATGACATCACCTTAGAGTTAATGTTAAGTTATTCAAATGTTATACTAAGTGCAAAGGAAAACCTTAGTGATTTTCCACTTTCAGATTACATCAGAATCATTAGAAATTTTTCTTAAAGTCAAGGCCTGTTCCTGTAGATTTTGATTCAATTGCTTTGAAGTGATACTTCTACCATTTGTATTTTTAACAATCTTCCCAGTAATTCTGATCTGAAGGAACATTTTAGAAACAGTTAACCTGCTTCTTTAATCACCTTCTTTGTCCACATTCACCTTCCATGGTTATATTTGAGATCTTTCCAAGCCATCAATTTCTTATAGGTACTGTGCTAATATCCCTATTTCAGAAATTTTGTTCTTCCAGGAACTGGAAAAAATGCATGTTTTCTTTCTCTCTCACTTCTCAGATGTGAAATCCCAATGTGCAACAAAGGAGTTATCATCAAAGGATGACAATTATGAAATGAAGTTATCTCAAAGAAAGAAAATGGAAAGACTTACAAGCCATGACCTTGGATGTTCCATTTTTCAAGATGATTGGAAGTATAATCATCATTTTCAGACAGAACAGAGAAATCAAGAAGAATATCTTAAAGTTGTGACAATCACCCATGAAAATATGCAAAGTCTCAGTCAACAAATATCCTATAATCTACATCAGATATATCATACTAGGCAAAAACCCTATGAATGCAGAGAATGTGGGAAAGTCTTCAATTACCACTCACTGCTAATTCACCATGGGAGAAATCACACCAAAGAAAAATGCTATGAATATAAGGATTGTGGAAAGGCTTTTAGCAGTTGCTCAAAACTTACTGGACATCAGAGAATTCATAATGGAGAAAAACTCTATGAATGTAATGAGTGTGGGAAAGCTTTCCACCACCCCTCAAATCTCATTCGACATCAGAGAATTCATACTGGAGAAAGACCCTATGAATGTAAGGAATGTGGAAAGGCTTTTAGTCGTGGCTCACACCTTACTCTACACCAGATAATTCATACTGGAGAGAAACCCTATGAATGCAAAGAATGTAGAAAAGCTTTCAGTTACCACTCATCCCTCATTCGACATGAAAAAACACATACTAAAGAAAAACACTATGAATGTAAAGAATGTGGGAAGGCTTTTAGCAACAGCTCGATTCTTAAGGGACATCAGAGAGTTCACAGTGGAAAAAGACCCTATGAATGTGGGGAATGTGGGAAAGCCTTCCATCACCACTCAATCCTTATTCAACATCAGAGAATTCACACTGGAGAAAGACCCTATGAATGTAACAATTGTAATAAAGCCTTCCGTTATCATTCAAATCTTATCGGACATCAAAAAATTCATCAAAAAGCAAAACTCTTTGAGTGTAAGGAATGTAGACAGTCCTTTAGTCATAACAGAGAACTTTCACACCATTAATGAATTCATACTGGTGAAAAACTTTATGAATGTAAGGAATGTGGCAAATCTTTTGGTCAAGGAGCACAACTTATTCATAATCAGATAATTCACACTGGTGAGAAACCCTATGAATGTAAGGAGTGTGGGAAGACCTTTATCCGTGGTTCGTGTCTTACTCGACATGAGAAAATTCATATTAGAGAAAGAAAATCTCTAGTACTGTAATGAATATAGACAATCCTTTGCTTCTAAGTAATCTCTTATGGGACATCAGATAATTACTAGATGAGAACTCTGTGAATGTAGCAAGTATAGGAAGGTCTTTTGCTTTATTTTATAATTTGCATCAGAGAATTCATGCAGGAGAAAAGGCCACATGAATGTAATATATAATAAATTTTTATTTATCTTAATTCTTACTTATCATGTCAATGATTTATATTAGCATGAAATTATACTCATGTAAATAATGTGGAAAAACTCAGTTTATACTTTATTATATTTAGTGGATTTTTGATAAACACAGTCTTTATAATGAATGTAACAAATGTAGGAAACCATTATGAAGATTTTACTTTAGGGCATTATAAAAACATTCTTTAATATGAAAAATATGGGGAAATCATCGGTAACCACTTATCTTTTATTGAACATCAAAAAAAAAAAAAAACCACCCCACTTTGACAGAAAGGCAATAGAATGATAAATCAAGTAAAAAAGTTGAGCTAAAACAAAATACACTATTAACTCGGTAATTTAAGGAAGAAACTAAAAGTTCAAAATACAGAATCTTTAGTAATGAGTGATATTGAGAGTACTACATATCAAATTCTGTGTAATGTGACCCAAAGCTGTACTGATAGAAAAATGTATATCCTTTGATACATGCATATAATTTAATAAACAGAAAAATAAACCACATGTAAAACACAGGAAGGTAGAAAGCAAATAAAATAACTTCCAAAACAAGAGAAGAATTAATAAATGTAGAGATTAAATCGAGTCAACACTAGTCTAGATTTAGTCCATAATCCAGAAGTGTTCTTTCTAGAGGTCAGAATATGGGTGTGGTCCAGAAAAAAAATTAAAAACTAAAGACATTATGAATGAGGAATTTTATATAACTATATAAACTGAGATTCTTTTTAAACATTCTACTACTTTATACCAGTAAGTTTGAACATCTAGAGCAGGATTTTCACACTGTTGACATTTTGGATCAGATAACTTTCCTACATTGGATCAGATAACTCTTTGTTGTGAGAGGTTATCCTGTGTAGTGTAGGGTGTTCATAGTAGCATCCCTGTCCTCTGCTCACTAGATGTCAGTATTAATCCCCTTCCCTCTAATTGTGATGAACAAGAATGTTTCCAGACATTTAAACGTCTGGGGTGGAGGACAGTGTAAGATTGCCCCCAGTTGGCAATTACTGATCTACATGAAATTAATCATTATCTAAGAAATAACCTAATTTTATTCAGGAAGAAGTAGAAAACCTGAATAAAACATAACCAACAGGAAAAAAATGTTAAAATATTTAAAGATATAGCCCCTTAAAAGTTCTCGAAGGACCAGGTGTTTTTAAGAACATGGCATGCTGGGGTGCTGCGTGGTGCAGTCGGTCAGGAGACCAACTCTGGGTTTCAGCTCAGGTCGTGATCTCGGGGTCCTGGGGTTGGGCCCACCTCTAGCCCTAAGTCAGGTTCCTATTCAGCGTGGAGTCTGTACTCAGCGTGGAGTCTTCTTGTACTCTCTCCATCCCCCTCTGCCCTGCCCCCCATTTGCATGTACTCTCTCTCTCTCAAATGAATGAATAAATCTTAAAAAAAAAAAAAATACAGTGTGCCAATCCTTCAAGTAATAGATAATTTATATATTATATAAAGAGCCTGGGGGGTAAAAATAGAATACTTACCAACTTACATAAGAGGTCACTAAAACTTTGATACTTAAATGGGACAAAGAGTATGTTATGGTTTGAATTATGTCCCCCCAAAATTCATGTTGAGGCCCTAACCCCTAATACCTCAAAATGTGTCTGTTTGGAGAGAGGGCTATTAAAGAGATGATTAAGTTACAATGAGTCCCTTAGCATGGAACCTAATCCAATCTGACCAGTGTCCTTATAAGAGGAAATTTGGACACACAAAGAGACACCAGGACTACACATGCACAAACGAAAAGACCACGTGAAGACCTAGTCTCGGAAGAAACCAAACCTTGATCTTGGACTTCTAGCCTCCCATAACTATGATCAAATAAATTTCTGTTGTTTAAGTTACCCAGTGTGTGGTATTTGTTATGGCAGCCCTAGCAAGCTAATACAGAGTACATAATTAACATTAAAAGCCAATGTAAAGGAGTTTTACATCTTTATTTATAAACAGAGATATAAAAATCCTAATAATTAAGAAATCAATCCTAACACTGTATTAGAGTATTACTACCATATAAGATAATTTACTCAAATTGTCCAAGACCTAACCTGCTTTCTTTTTTTTTTTTTAAAGATTTTATTTATTTATTCATGAGAGATAGAGAGAGAGAGAAAGGCAGAGGGAGAAGCAGGCTTCCCACGGAGCAGGGAGCCCGATGCGGGACTCGATCCCAGGACCCTGGAATCATGACCTGAGCCGAAGGCAGACACCCAACCATCTGAGCCACCCAGGCGCCCCTAACCTGCTTTCAATTAATGATATATCCAGGATCTGTATATTCCTAAATTCAAGAAAACAGTAATTTTCAAAAGGCATGATCCAGCCCCAACTTCTGGATTCATCTATTGTATATTTATATGGTCTAAAGAGTTGCAGTGTATGTTTACTTGCACAATCTAAACTCAAATTTTGAAGTATTACAATAACTAGAATATACAATATTTTTATTTTTTTTAAGACTTTATTTATTTGACAGAGAGATACACAGCAAGAGAGGGAACACAAGCAGGGGGAGCGGGAGAGGGAGAAGCAGGGTTCCCGCCAAGCAGGGAGCCCGATGAGGGGCTGGATCCCAGGACCCTGGGATCATGACCTGAGCTGAAGGCAGGCGCTCAACGAATGAGCCAACCAGGCACCCCGAGAATATACAATATTTTTAAATCTGGTAAGCCAAGTCCCCCACCACAGTTTTTTCTTTTTCTGCCTACTCTCACATATTTGTTCTTCTATTGCTTAGAATTATATCAACTATTTCTATTAATTGAATTTTTATTCTATTAAAACTTTCCATCAAGGAACATTGTCTTTCACACTGATTTTTCTTATTATATTCTCTTTAATAAAATTTTGTAGTATTACATATGAATCTCATTGCTTTCTTGTTCTGATTTATTCTTTTTTTAAAAGATTTTGTTTTGGGGGCACCTGGGTGGCTTAGTCATTGAGCATCTGCTCAACAGATGAATGGATAAAGAAGATGTGGTCCATATATACAGTGGAATATTACTCAGCCATCAGAAAGGATGAATACCCAACTTTTACATCAACATGGATGGGACTGGAGGAGATTATGCTAAGTGAAATAAGTCAAGCAGAGAAAGTCAATTATCATATGGTTTCACTTATTTGTGGAACATAAGGAATAGCATGGAGGACATTAGGAGAAGGAAGGGAAAAATGAAGGGGGGGAAATTGGAGGGAGAGATGAACCATGAGACTATGGACTCTGAGAAACAAACTGAGGGTTTTAGAGGGGAGGGGGTAGCAGGATAGGTTAGCCCAGTGATGGGTACTAAGGAGGGCACGTACTGCATGGAGCACTGGGTGTTATACGAAAACAATGAATTGTGGAACACTACATCAAAAACTAATGATGTATTGCATGGTGACTAACATAATAAAATAAAATTTAAAAAAATTAATTTTAAAAAATTAAAAAATAAAAGATTGAAAAAAAATGATCCATGTGCTCTACTGACTGAGCCAGCCAGGTGCCCTTTGTTCAGATTTATTCTTGTGTTTCATGACTTTGGGACTAAATATATATTTTTAATTCATTTTTAACTGGTTACAGCTAATATAGAAAATAGTGTTAATTTTTATATGTGTCTTATATTTATTCATCATATCAAATGTTTTCCTAGAGTGTATTGGTTTATCCAGATGTGCAAATATATGATTTAAATAGAAATAATTCTGACTCTTCCTTTCCAGTGTTCACATCAATTATTTTCTAGCCCTGTTGATTGGTTTACATTTCTTTTTTTTTTCTTTTTAAAGATTTTATTTATGTTTTGACAGAGAGAGAGACAGTGAGAGAAGGAACATAGGCAGGGGGAGTGGGAGAGGGAGAAGCAGGCCTCCCGCGGAGCTGGGAGCCTGATGGCGGGGCTTAATCCCAGGACCCTGGGATCTTGACCCTAGCCGAAGGCAGATGCTTAACGACTGAGCCACCCAGGCGCCCCATACATTTCTAAAACCATGTTAAATAATTTCAGTAAGTGTACATGTCCTCAACTCTTTCCTGATATAAACGGAGGCTTCAGTATTTCAATGAGGAGCATATTACCCGTGGGGTTTGGCAGACAGCTTTGGTCATAGTAGAGGCTGGCCTTTCTATCTTTATATTAATTTTATTAGAAATGACAACTAAGTTTTATCATATGCCTTTTGGATGTAATCATATAATTTTTATCCTTTAACTTACTGAGTAATGAAGTATTTCCTGGTATTACAGTATACTTTATTACAACATAAATTCTATTTTGCTATAATATGAAAGCAAACTATCCCATGTGTTAAGTTTTAAGACAAAGACTCTTGTAGAGTGGGGCGCCTGGGTGGCTCAGTTGTTGAGCATCTGCCTTCGGCTCAGGTCATGATCCCAAGGATCCTGGGATGGAGCCCTGCTTCGGGCTCCCTGCTCAGCAGGAAGCCTGCTTCTCCCTCTCCTGCTCCCCCTGCTTGTGTTCCCTCTCTTGCTGTGTCTCTCTCTGTCAAATGGATAAAAACTTAAAAAAAAAAAAGACTCTTGTAGAGTTAATTTTTAGCATTTTGATTGAAGGGCAAAGTTGAGGATGTAATAAATCTGAAACCTTTCTGCGTATCTAGGAAAATCCAGCTATTTATAGCTTGGGTTATGGTCAGTTCCATTGCAGAAGACAGCTGTGGAGACTGACAGCTCTCTTGCTCAGGAGATAACATTGAACTGTTGGAAACGAGGCATGTACG